AGTGTGGGGTGCTGTGATTTGGAAGCAGACGTATACTAATAGCTTTAAAGTGACTCAGTAAAAAAAAGAGTGTTGATATGAGAGTTTGCTTATATAGATTTTGGGTACGTTCCAGAGAAGATTTCAGAAATAGATTCTCAACATCGCATTTGATTAGACAGAAAATATATTTTGATATTTTACCGCCAAATCTTTGCTTATTGCTCAAGCGTGCTTCTTGGATCGTATCTAACAATACCGACGTTGCCAATTTTGATTGACACTTAAAAGAGTAAAGGCGGTCGCTATGAGATAATGTATTTTCAATTAAACATTAGCTTTTGCCAGATTGATAAAGGGTTTGAAACACTGCAGTATAAATGTTTGGTAAATATATAAGACAGTTTGGAAAACACTTATTCTGACATGTTTCACTGATCAAAGAGTAACATCAAAATATGGATTTGATTTTATTCGTAATTTTATGTTGAATGACTTTTTTACGGTTTCTCAACCCATTCAAAGCCGAAAGTTTTGGATTGTAAGAATAAATTTCTTTTTTTTGCGAGTGAATGTTTTTTTTTGGGGGGGGGTAATAATAATTATTTAACCCACAGCTGGGGGAATAAATGGATTCGTTACTTTCCCAAGAGTATTTGCGCTGGAATTCGAACTCGACCCTCACGATTCATTTTAGTCATTTGAACGCTGTTGTTTTTACTTTAATTATATTGTTTTTTTAATTTGATTGTTTTTTATTCATTTTAACTCAGTTTTTATTTATATATTAATTTGTTTTAAGATTTTTTGTATCTTTTGTGAATCTAATCTACAGTTAAAAGAAAAAAAACATTCCAGCGTTCGTATTATTAATGGGAATCACTTTTTGTCTCTCCAGTGTAGATTTGGTTGAAATAAAGTCCATTTTTTTAATGACACTGTTTGCTTAGCGAAACATGTTAAACAAGAGATTTTTTTTTTCAAAATCCTCTTATAAATTTGACATTCCGATTGATTTTCATTCAAATTTAAATCAGTATAATTCAATAAAACTACTTTCAGAAAAATATATATTAAGCAAACACATATGCCAGGCGTGGGCAAACCGCGGTTCGTGAGCCACATGCGCCACATGATCTTTAATATGCGGCTCGTGGAAATATGTTGGCTGAGCTTCTTTTTTCATCATAGTTAATATAAAAGATAAATAAGAAAAATTTCGAGTTTTATAATTATTTATTGGTTATGAATTGAGATCGCATTGGATTAAAACGAGAGTTTAATGTTAATGTGTATGTAACAAAAACGTATGTGTAAATTTTGTTCATGTCTTGCAGATCTCAAAACATCTGAATTTTATTGTAGATGGCTCTGACATTAAACAAGTTTGGCCACTCCTGACATATACAAACCCAACTGGAATTGGCTGCAAAAGTAGGTATACAGTAAGACGAGAGGATTGTGCAAAAGTAGGTATAGAGTAATAATAGAGGAATACGTTTTGTGCGCACGTTTTTTTTTCAGTACTGTATACCTACATCTGTATCCTTCTGTATACAGATTCTTCTATGAGTTTGAAATTGTTGTGTATAAAAATTTCAAATCAACGACATTCAGATTAAAAATTGATTTTCAAGGCTGGCACAAGACAATCTTCCTATATGTACAAGAGTGGGTCAGTAATCTGTAGCTTATCAAAGCTGTTAACAGGGTTTCGCTTTGGAATTAATACTGGGCAATCTTCGAACTGTGGGTTAGCATTGTGTTAAGCGCATTAAAAAAAGGAAAAAGATAGTTGATAAGTAATTATTGGTTAAAATATGAAGCTTTTTCCCATCATTAGCCAGGTTTATTGATGACATATATATATATATATATATATATATATATATATATATATATATGATATAACGTTATATATTTTATATATCAAGAACAGTATTGAGGAAATTGTAAGACAAAATGGAAAAAGTTTATTTGAAACGCGTCACGAAGAAACTTTTTTCCATATATATATATATATATATATATATATATATATATATATATATATATATATATATATATATATATATGACTGTGTATTTGGGCATCATTCCCTCTTTTATACAAGTTTCGTTAAAGGCGACTAACAAGCCACTGCGATTATGTTTATTTATTTGTGTTCATGCAAGTGTTTTCTTTTCTGGACATAAAGTTTGTAAAACTGTCAAACTATATATATATATATATATATATATATATATATATATATATATATATAGTTTATGAAAAACTAGGTAATCCGTATGGGTAAACCTAAAGAGGATAAAATCCAGAGAGCCCAATGTAAATCCAGAGCAAATAATTTAAATAAAAACAGACCACTTTTATATATATATATATATATATATATATATATATATATATATATATATATATAGATAGATAGATAGATAGATAGATAACCTTGAACCTTCGTGCACGTAAAAAGAAAACCGGAGTGTCAAAAGTACGGTTTTTCCGTTGACACCGTTATTATTTTAACTACCATCACTCTTCGCCAATGTTTTCTAGTTGCCTATTGCTATAGCACAAGACCATAGTGTTGAAAAAAAACCTGACCTGTCTGTGGTTTTGAAGCTCTTGGTTGAAACCGGAAACAGAATGATTCATCCCAGCCGTTAAAGATCACATGTCATAGGCACATATTTTAATGATTATGACTGATCTAAAGGATTGAATTTGTTTACAGAGTGAGGAAACTATCGAACATCATAGTGTTCTGCCCCAGTTATTCTCAACGTGGGTTTTTAGGTACATGAATTTTTAAAATGAACCTGGAGTTGACCCAAGGAAAATGGGCGGGCTTTGAAATTCTATTGTTTTTCGAGTATTTGTGGGTAATATTTCAGCACTTTTTAAAATGAATTTCTTGTGAGTTATCTGCCGCTGCCTTTTAATTAATGTTAATCATTTCGTTGCTGCAGATTCCAGAGTCCATATTGAGAATATCGAACTTTTGTTGGGATCAGCAAAGTGGAAGAACAAGCCTAATCGAGGAAAGGCAAGAGAACATCTTGAGACCTACCTGGCTGTGTTCATGTGGAGAAGGCAACTAACCGATGAAGTCGACCTATTCGACGCCATCCTGCAGGCTATTGCCGCGTTCGTGCCAACCGAATAATACGATATATATTTTTTTATTTTGAGAAATAAATATAATTTAAGAATCAAATAGTATATTTTTACACATCTGTATTTGTGAAAAAGTAGCAAAATTAATTTTAAAAGTGGTGAATGATAACCAACAAGTACCATCAGAAATTGGAAAGCAAGAAGCCGGACGAGAGTTCCACAAGCGAGAAGTGCGAGAGAAAAAACTGTTAATATAAAACTTACGGTTACATCACGTAGAAAAGGCAACTACCCATTCGACGCCATCCTGCAGGCTACTGCGTTCATGCCACCTGAATAATACGATAAATGTTCATTTGGAGAAATAAATATAACCTAAGAATCAAATAGGATATTTATACACATTTGTATATGTGAAAAAAAAAAAAAAGTTGCAAAATTACCGTATATACTCCAGTATAAGTCGACTTCATATTTAATGCAACCGCAGAAAATTTTTTACATGGTGTATAGTGTAACCGTTTACTAAAAATGCATGATTTTAATCTCTCCAAAAAATCACCTATGAATAGTGCGACCTCAAATATTTTGCGTAAAACTCTGATCATAAAAGTCAAGTATATTCAGTATTTTCAAAAATGGCAGATAATCCAGAAGTACCTTTTTTTTTGACTGGAGTAATATTATGAAAACAAACTGCTTTACTTTATTTTTAAAGCAAATAATTTAGAAATTATTTAAATAAAATTTCCGATATTTTCTTATAATAAATCATATTTTCAACTTGATTTGTAGCATTTTTTTATTGTTCGCGATAGAAAGACATCATATTTATTTAATTTATTTTGCATTTATTTGAGACCACCATTTTTTATACATTTAATGTGAGTTATTGAGTTACAATATGACGGAATGAATTAACGAAAATGTTATTTTAGTTTTTGAAAGCATTACTTTATCTGTCTTATATCAGGACCGTTAATCCACGTTCTCCACTGTTAGTTAGTTATAATTTATTAAGCTTTTTTTTTATTCACAGTCAATGCCACTTTTAGATTTTATGGTCTGATATGGTTAAAATTGAGTTTAAATTTCCTTCCTTCAATCGTTTTAGTTTAGATTTTATAGTTTCTACTAGATTTTGCTTTTGTAAATAAAATGAATTTCCTGTTACATGGAATTTCTATTTGTGGGCTTGAAATTTTTTTGATACCAAAAATAGGCCAGAAAGAAGAAAAGGTTGAGAAACACTGGAACTCCAAACAAATTTATATATGGTAGCTTGATATGGTAGGCAAATACTTTTATTAGAGGATATGCCAAAATTAAAACCTTCGACCCGTAGTAAAACGGTATGGGCACAAATAACCACCAACCGCTAGAAGGTGAAAATGTTAGTGCTCTGTGAGTCCACCATACATACCGACTGAATTATACAAACGGCAAGACAATAATAAAAGACCTAAACAAATCTAAGTGCTATTTCATCGTCTTGACCATCCTGTCTGATAAAAATATCTCAGCTAAAAATGTGAGAATCCTTCAAAACATAAAAACAGGAGTTGGAAATTGCAAGAATCTAGCATTTCAACACAAAAAACTACTCCAATAATAATAATAAGAGCACAACTATGATTGATTCGTTTTTTTACGACTTATCAACCCTTTGGTTATTTAAAGCCAAATATATTTTTAGATTGAAAGATTTTTTGTGGTGGGGGTAGCTAATAATGGTTTAAGGATAAAAGTCTTACTAATTAATCCATAGCTGGGGAGAGAAGCTTGATACCTTACCTAAGGATATTTGCGCGCAAGTTAATATAACGAACCCAAGTGGAATTGGAACTCGGCTCACCAATTAACAATTCCGAGCCATTATCTATTACACCACCAGCACATTCAAGCTTACAACATCTGGTATTCCCAAGCGGTTACCCAGCTAAGTACTGGCCAGGTTCGACGTTGCTTACCTTCAGTGATCGAACGGGAACGGGTATTTCAACGTGATATGACCGTAATAAGAAGGATTAAAAAGTATACTGATGCATTTATTAAGAAAATCCTAGAAAATCCCTCACTATCTGAGATATCAAGATTGAGCACATGGACACCTTTCTTTATCTCAGCTCTAAGTAAAAAGAGTTGGCAAAGGACTGCTTCAAAGAGCAAAACAGGAAAACTCGAAGTAATAATAATAATAATAATAATAATAATAAATAATAATAATTAATTCCCCGATTCTACATCATGAATGGCTCTCGTGGCTTCGGATCTTAATTGATTGGAGTTGCTAACACGTCAATGTTTTGTAGCGATGAGTTACGATCATCTACAATAGATATCCCGTTCAGTACCACAGATTTCCTTGTCAGTTGTCTGAGCATAATCAGTTTGGAATGTCCTCTAAGGGTTGACACAATGTTCATATCTGTTAATGGGCGGGAGTAATAGGAAAACATGATGACCCAGTGTTGTGAGGATTGCTTGAGCGTTGAGACTGCAAACATGACTTCGGAGTCACGTGTAGATATTGGAAACACGCTTAATCGGTGACCGTCTGAACAAACCGGGTTACCCAACCTGAAGTTAATTGTAAATGGGCCCCACTTTTTCTCTCTCCCTGTTGCCTTCAATCTGTCCTGATAGATAGATAGATAGATAGATAGATAGATAGATAGATAGATAGATGAAAAGGGCCGTCTTCCCAAAAAAAGGATATATGGGATTCGGTTAATATGACATATGTGATCCTTTTTTGAAAAAGAATAACTTGGGAAAAGGCGATTGGTCCATCTAACATGTCAAATTTTCCAAGCCTTCTTTCCTCATTATGTACCCTAGTAATTTCAACTGTATCTTTCTCATGTTAGATATAAATATTCTTTTTGTTTCTATTTTCTCTTAAACTTCGTCGTTTTTCACATGTTTAGTCGATGATATTCTTGGTATCCTTCTGTAGAACAACATTTCTGTTGCTTCATAATCTATTTTTCATCTGGGAGGAGATTGTCCAGTATTCAGTGCCATCTTGAAAGACTGGTATCAAATAACAGTTCAGTACATTTTTCTTAGTTCTTAACGAAGTTTTTCTGTCTTAATATTTTGTTAGATTTTGGAAGACAACTTTCGTCAACCCAATGCCTCTTCAGGTTTCCCTATCACACTTTCCATCCTCTCCTTTATCAAAATTTGTCACCAGATTGCGCACATTTGGCTGTGGTGCATGGACCTGGTATACCCGTATCAGACTGGATGTCATGATGGGTAAATTGGTCATCGTATATTTGTACCGCATCGTCACTTTGTTCGCGCGTTGCTCTTTCACTCAATAATATAAAATATTAATTTAATTTTTGGACTAAGGTTCTTCTTCTGTGTGCTGTGTTCCTTCGGGGCGTGGGCGGTCATAGTTCTCCACAACTTCCTGTCGATTTGTTAAGTGAAGTTTGTCTTTTTGCTATCTCTCCTAATCCCTGTTCTGCCAACCATTTACATAAGCTCGTAAGGTAGCTTATGCACTGCTATACGCGACGCGATTACTAGTGTCCCAGTTTAAAAAGCTTATTATTCCCGGTGGAACAGCTATTTAAGCCAGCATGTTTATTCTATAAGTTGAAAGATTTTCCACACGCATGACTATTCCTGACGGCACTTATATTTGATACCAAAGTTTACTGATGGGGCAAATTTGGCTTTAATTCTCTCTCTTTCTCTCTCTCTCTTTCTCTCTACATACACACACACACACACACACACACACATATATATATATATATATATACAGGCACACCCATACACACACATACAGACACAGACACACATACACATATATATATATATATATATATATATATATATATATATATATATATATATATATATACATACCTCTCTCTTGCTCCCTCTTTCCAAATTATCCCCTAACTGCCTCTCTCCTCTCACGACCCTCTCGCTCTCTTTAGACTTATTTTCTCCGCCTAATTCAAGTTTCTAGTTGTAAAAAAAGATGACAAGTTTTCAAATTAAAATTAAAATTAATAATGACAGAACGCCCGGAAATCATTTTATGTAACTTTATATTCTTGGCAAGTTTAGTTCGTATCTTACAAAGAGAATCTATTTGATTATTTGAGTTGAAAAGAGACACGAGGCGGAGGGTCAAACAAACAAAGAAAAAAAAACAAAAAGAAAAAGAGGCGGTTTACATGGATGATTGTTAAAATTGTTGTGGTCAGCCTAGCAGACGCTAAGACCGTGTTAAATTGTAGGTATTTATTTACCTCGTCCACCCACTTAAACGGAATGCGGCACATGCCTAGTGTTTAAATTTGGAAACCCGCTTATTTTTACAGGTGGTCTTTTCAGAAATTACCCACTTTTATAAGCAGGCCAATGACTTTTAACCCGATGGGAGGTACTGCATAGGCAACAGATCTCCAGGTGTCAGGCATCTGTCTAGTCTTCATGTAGTAAAAATTTTGTAGCGAAGCACTGAAACCCAGCTGACCTTTTCAATAAAAGTTTGAGTTTTATATATTGATTTAATAGACGGAAAACTATTTTCCTTTTTTTCCTTTATATTTTATATATATATATATATATATATATATATATATATATATATATGTCAAGAATCCCTGACTGACGCCTAACTAGAAGCAACCGTACATCTAGCCGCACTGATGAGCTGTGATACATCAAACAGTTTGTCTGTGGATGACATATATATATATATATATATATATATATATATATATATATATATATTGTCTACGACTAAGTCGTTGGCGCACGACAGGGATGAAGGTGAATTTAAGCGTATTTATTTTTAGACTGAGAGAACTCCATTCGATTTAACGAAGAGTCTTGCATCATTATCCGTAATAGTCACTGTTTACAAATCCACAATTCCTCCCCACAGAGCTCAATCGAAATAAATTTTTCAGGATATATATATATATATATATATATATATATATATATATATATATATATATAGTACCTAGACTTAATGAAATAGATAGATGTAACCGTAAGTTCTATACTATTAGATGCCTCTATCGCTCTTTTCTCTTGTGAAACTCTCTTCCACATTTTTTTTCGTTTATACAAGAAAAATCTTTTGAAAATCCACCCGGCAATGCCAAGTGACGCGTAAAGACGCAACATTAAAAAAATACCGACATAACGCTAGAAGATATGATATTTGAAAAATAGATGAAATGGACGTAGCACAAAACAAACATTCCTTTACGGTCGTTTATCAAATTCGAAATTACTCAAACATCGGTGAACTTATATTTAAATTCTCATCCAAAACCAGGAAAATGGTGCAAAATATAGAATTTTCTATGATCTTTAAAGAAACTTGTTCATATCTATCTATCTATCTATCTATCTATCTATCTATCTATCTGTATATATATATATATATATATATATATATAGAGAGAGAGAGAGAGAGAGACAGAGAGAGAGAGAGAGAGAGAGAGAGAGACAGACAGACAGAGAGAGAGAGAGAGAGAGAGAGAGAGAGCGAATGCATCCGTGTGCTTAGAACGTTCGCTTTCCGATGATGAGACCCGGGTAATCGGACGTCTCTTTACACTGAAGAGCTGTGGATGACAATATATATATATATATATATATATATATATATATATATATATATATATATATATATATATATATATATAGGTAGATAAATTGGTGGTAAATATACACATACATATGCAATCATATATCTAAAATATATGAATATATATACATACATACACATACTTATATATTTGTATAAAAATAATTCCATGAGGATAGAATCCAGGTAGAACTCAATGTCCAGGACAGAGTAATGATATAATAAAAAGGCTTTAAACACTAATATTCCATGGTCATAATTTAGTGAGAGTGTATATATAAGAGTGTGGGACGAATGTTAGAGTAAATGAAAGCTATAGGAGGGGGTAACAGACGAGAGAAGAACAGGAAGGTCTAAAGATGAAGGGGGGGGCTAAAATTTAACAGAGAGAAGTCTTTAGACCTTCCTGTTCTTCTCCTGTTCTTCTCTCTTCTGTTACTCCTCTCTATAGCTTTCATTTACTCTAACATTCGTCCCACACTCTCATACATACGCTTTCACTAAATTTTATTTTTATTCCCGGAGTTGTTTTTTTCTGTTTTCTTTTTTGAATTTGTAGGTCTGGTGAATTGGATCGTATTTACGATTCCAATGGAATAAATTATGACCATGGAATATTTGTGTTTAAGACTTTTTTATATATATATATATATATATATATATATATATATATATATATATATATATATATATAATGAACGGAAATGAAGGCTAAAATATTTCTTATAATAAACAGGGTCGATCAAATTCCAGTAAATAGAACCCAAAATAGCAGTCAACCACCATAAATATTTCCTAATTTTTCGAAACCCTCTTTCTTGGTCCTTAACTATTTGATATTCATCTGGTTTCATCATGCCGAGACGATTGTGTTCACTACATCATAGTCTCTATTTGATTACAGCTGAGCGGTAAGCTAAATAGTCATTTCTCAATCGCTATGTTAGCAAAGAATATTCGAATCGCCTCCTTGACGTGTATTGCGAGTTTCTGAGTGTCAATGTGTGAGCAGTGATGATGGTGAGAATAGTATAAAGACATTCAAATGCGGTTCAGTAACGTTTCTGATTGGTCGAATATATTTATTGTGATTGGATGATAATTATTTTTTTTTTATTACCTTTACACTTTTCTGTTTTGGTCTTATACTTTTATGTAGGTCTACTTTAGTCATTTGACATCCGGACTTCGGAGAGTGGAGAAGTTTTTCTTTCCCTTCACTTCATCTCGAAATTCTTTGAAGTCAGTTTTTTTTTCAGGCTAGCGTTAAATGAGGCACAACTAAACATGTCAAATAATAGCCATACTAAACGCCACCCAAAGCTTAATATATACATAAAAGACTGCATTGTCATAATCATCATTGATTTTGAACAATT